AAAATTCTAGCCGACGAGATGCAAAAAATTGACATGGACAAATTATCCAGGGGACACCTGCATACAATACCTAATTCTTACATTCCAAAAGATTTACAAACATGTAAAAGTATCTGGCTAAGAACAGACAGAGTAAAGAAAGCCATTGGAAGCTCCATACAGGTCCATTCCAAGTATTAAGTCGTCATGAAAATATTTTACTATTAAAAGATCGGATGACGTACATAGTAATGTTTCAATAGATAGACTAAAACCTGCATATATTTCTGAAAATATAAAATCAAAAGATTCCATTGATCAAGACCGGATTTGAGAACTCCCTATCTTGTTCCGAAGAAACTAATGATAACAAACCAGAAACTAGAACGAAGTCCGGTAGAACGGTTAAATGGAAGAAAGAAAACACATATTTTTATTACTGAAAAAAAACAAAAACAAAAAAAAAAAAACAACAACAAAAAAAAAAAAAAAAAAAACAACAACAACAACTCCGTTTACTGGGGCGAAAGTTATGTGGTGGCACGGAGCAAGCGAAGGACCGGATGTTAACCCTCAGAGGTCTAAATAGCAAATGACCAATACTGGTCTTTACGCACCCGGCTCCACGCAGAATTTCCGGTGGAAAATAAAAAGAAATAAAAAGAATAATAAGCAATTTCCACCAATAAAACGGCTCCGCGACATACCCAACAGTTTGCTTCAGCAGACTGACTCTGAGCCGATGGGCACAAATAAATAGAGCGATAAATTCACTTCTGTAGAGAAAGCTTTGAAGTACCGTCAGAGAATGTCGCTACGCTTTCCTCTCCCATCAAACTCGACGCCTCCAGCCTTCCTTCACCACCGGAGATACCGAATGACTCCTACCAACCCATTGACCTCACCTTTCATCTCCTGTGACCAGCACGCCTTAAACTTAAGTATTAACAAAGTGACTCTTATATTCCTTTTTTAATAATCCAATTTCTCTTATATGAATGAACATTTTATAACGGACTTTTTTGTGCGTGTGAATCAAGAAAAATTGTACTATTCATTGATGTTGTATTTTAATACAAATTGTTTTGATACACCCTTCTCTTTCGTATGCTATTTTGTTTATGTATGGTGACCTCAAATTGATTGCTTGTTGAACCTTTAGGCCAAACTAGCGGCTGTCCCGAAGGACTGCTACTACTACCTACCTTCTGATAAAAGCAACAAGTAACAACGAATACACTCCCCCCTCCAACACCATAAGCATGCTAATTTTATGTTAACTTTCTTTACTTTTCCCCAATTAGAATGCACTGCGCTTGGTCGGTCATGTAACCATCAATGGTCAATCAACGGAACCCCGTTTTGACAGAAAGAAGAACAATTTTTGCGTAGACACCACTTAGTGAAGAGGCATTCCTTATTCGTGGATAGATACAGCCTCTTGCCACATGGTATGTCAGACTTGTGAATAAAGATAGCTTTTGTAACATCCAATAGCTTTCCTTTTCAGGGTTGAAGAGAAGGTAGGAAATAAACCCTATTTCCAACAAACTTACATGCCCACACAGATATCATATTAAAACATGTCCAAAACTTTATTTTCTACTCAATAACAAACAATATTACAAAAATACCAAAAAGATTCCACAATACAACACACACCGTTTGCAAGACATTCTGTAAACAAAAAGCAAAATAAAGGGTGTCCTAATAACTTAGGACCTATTTTAAATGTGAATTAAGTTTAAGCGTCTAATGATTTTTTCTATTTCTTTCAGATTTAATAAGTCTTTGGCAATTTCAACGATGGAAAGATTAACAATCAAACAAAATGTTAAAGTTTCAAAAGTGCAATTGGAAAAATTGTTCGTAAACAATTCAAACAAACTGGGTCGGTGGCAGATGTGAAAGCACCATTGCGTGCTCGTTTACGCCGTTCAGCTGAAAACATTGCACGTATGTGGCCGAAAATCCAGACACCTCTATTCGTCAACGCGAGAAAGAATTGAACATTTCCACAACGTTACATCGTTTCCAATTGCACTTTCGGTTGGTCGATTATGTTGACCCCAAAAATCGCGAAGTGCGTGAAATGCATTTCTGTTTGAACGTCCATTTTGTAACAGGCTTCGATAACTTTAACACGTTCTTTGATTGTTAATATTTCCATGGTTGAAATTGCCAAAGACTTAAGTTGATAAATCAGGGTTTTTTTTTTAATGAACTTGCAATTTAGGAAAGGTTTCAATAAGACAAGAAGTTTAGCAACATTGTTTTATTTAAACTATTTCGGAGTTGTGATGAAAGTCATTTTTTCAATCATTTCATCCCAAGCAAGGAGATAATGCCACGAGAACGCGGGGTGTGGTTACAGGGATGGAAAGAGAATGAGAAAACTTTAGCGAGAAGAAAGGAAAAAAATAAAAGAACAGGATTCATAAAGAGAGAAGGCGGTGATTGATGTCGTATTTAAATTTTTGTCAGGAAAGCAAAAGGCCAGAATCCACAGATGAGAAGTTCGAGAGAAGAAACTATTAAATAAAATTTACTGTTACATGTAGCTATTTCAATAGTAAAATGAGACCTCGTTGCCAATCTAGTACTATTCATACGGTCGAGGTGCCAAAGAAGAAAGCTCAATAGAATAATTGTCATGAAAATATTTATAGAAAAGACAAAGAAGCTATGTTTCGGCGATGAGAAAGTGACCGAAGACAAGATGCCTGGTCAGGACCGATAATTTTGCAAACTCTTCTTTGGATTTTGTCAAGAATCTCGAGCAGGAGAACCAGATCAGATGCGGCAGCAATATTCAGTGTGCAGACGAATGGTTAGATTTATAAACGTGCAAGATGGATTCTGACGAGGAAATTGTTTGGCACAACACAGTGAACAAAATTTACTAGCAGCAGATGTCTCAATTCATTCAATATAAGCATTCCACTTCATGTCTACGGAAAACGTGAGACCAAGAATGCGCAATGACTCTCCATTATCCAAATGCTCTCTTGGGGATCAGCAATGCGGATGGAAAATAAAAGATAGTTCTCTATGATGAGTAAAAGATAGTAGTTTCGTTTTGGAAGTGTTAACAACAGATTGAAGGTCATTTTCGAGAGCAGCTGCCAGTTTTACTTTGTCGACAGGAGTAAATATCAGGTCATCCCATAAGTTCTGTCCGAATTTTAACTTCTTGTTAAAATGAACAAAAGTTAAAGAGTATTTTAGAATGTCTAATGGAGCTGAACATTATTTTTATGTTTAGATGTATTTAAACTGATCAAATTTTATTTCAGAGAACAATAAAATTAAATTTTGTTTGATTAAAACCCTGCTAACATGGAAGTACCCAAGAATCATTTGAGGCACATAATGCTTTATGAGTTCAAGAAAGGAAACTCAGCAGCCGAAGCGTCTAGAAACATTCACTCAGTTTATAGAGAGGAATGTGTGAATGAAAGAACTTGCAGAAGATGGTTTGCAAAATTCAGAGGTGGAGATTTCACCATTGAAGATGAAGATCGAACCGGACGTCCAGTTGAGTTCGATGAAAAGCTTCTTGAAGCAACCCTTGAAGAAAATCCTGCTTTATCAGTTGAGGAATTGACAGTGGTTCTCAGTTCAAACCATACAACTGTTCATCGTCATCTTCAACAACTTGGAAAAGTTCCTAAACTTGGAAAATGGGTGCCTCATGAATTGTCTGAAAACAACCTCAAATCCCGAGTTGATATCTGCTCTTCTCTCCATTCTCGCCAACTTGTTTCACCTTTTTTGAATAGACTTGTGACTGGCGACGAAAAATGGATTTTTTATCGAAATGTTAAGCGTCTTAGACAGTGGCTTGGTAAAGGGGAAGGACCCCAGCCACAGCCGAGAAGGGAACTTCATGGGCAAAAGGTTCTTTCAATCTGGCGGAATCGCCAAGGAATAATCCACTTTGAATTCTTGCCACCTAATGCAACAATTAATGCTCAAATATACAGTCAGCAATTAAAGCATTTGAACCAAGCTTTGAGGAAAAAAGACCTGCTCTAGTGAATCGAAAAGAAGTGATGTTTCATCAGGACAATGTGCGACCCCACAGAGCGAGAACTTGGTTGGGAGAAAATTCCTCATCCACCTTATTCTCCCGATCTTGCTCCTTCAGACTACCATTTGAATTATTTGGAAGAAACAGCTTTTGTAACACAGGAAGAGGTTAAAACCGCCATTTGTGAGTTCTTTGAATCAAAGCCAAAAGAATTTTACAGTAATGGAATTAGTAAGCTTGTTAATAGATGGAAGGAAGTCATAGATAATCAGGGAAAATAATCTGTAATTAAATGTAACATTTGGTCACTTGTTTTCTTTATTCAAAATTCGGACAGAACTTATGGGATGACCTGATAGTTGTGCTGTCAGCAATCTCGAGTGGTTACAAAAACAGTGTAAAAATAATTTATTTTTCAGACCCGGATGTTTTGCAAATTCTTCACAAGCTCACATTCATTGAGGGTGTGTAGGAATTTATTCTTTATAAAAGTAGTGTTGGCGGCATTAAATATCAGTATTTCCTCAAGAGAAAAGGTTTAGTGTACTTTTTGTGTAACTGTTTAGTCATGTCCTATAAAGAAATAGATTACTAGTAATACTGCACATAATAATATTATGATGGCAAATTTGAAGCTTTAATACCCACAGAACTACTTTTTGATAATTGATGACATCAGGGCGATAATTAATGAAGCTATAAACAAAGTAGGCCGAAGGATAGAGCCCTTGGGGACACCCGCATTAATGTGAAAGGATCTGGAAGAATGGCCGTTCACCGCAAGTCTCATTCCACGGTTTGTTAAATCCAAAAATAAACTTCATTTACGAACTTCCTTAGTGTCATTAATAAAGATTCTTTAGTAGTAAGTTAGTTAACTCAGAAATACCAGTTTAAATGTATCCAAAGTCACCACGACATGGCTGCTTTTCATATACCGTGAGGCAAGCCAGTGGCAAAATATCAAACTACCTAGGCTTACAACAATATCAACTTAAAACACCGGTTCTCGTACGATCATCGAAGTTAAGCAACGTCGAACATGTTCAATCCCTAGATGAGTGACCGCTCGGGAATATTAGGTGCTGTTAGCTTGGATATGCGCGTGGTGTAATGGATAATGGCTCGGAACTGTTAATCGGAGAGCCGAGTTCTAATTCCTGTTAGGTTCGTTATATTCACTTACTCGCAAATACCCTTGGGAAAGTTATGAACCCACCTCTACGCCGTCAGCTATTGGTTAATTAGTATCTTGTATCACTAAAATCACTATCTAAAAAAAAACTCTAACAATCCAAAAATATAGAAAACAATACGTACAGCATTTACATCTTATTATAAAACGCAGATTGTGTGTGTGTGTGTTTGTGTCTGTTCGTTTATATATGGGATTGTATTTCCTACATTTTTCAACCGATTTCAACAAAACTTCACAGGACTACGTAAAATTACCCGGCGGTGGTTCTGGAAAATTGTTTTTTTGCACGAAATCAATTTGAAAGCACGAGTAAGGGTATCGCACCCGACCGGAAGTTACTGCCAGCTACTCAAACGTCCAAAAACAGAACGAATGCCGTTAACTTCCGGTGACTCAGCGTTTTTGTTTTCAGAGAACGATACACAAAAAGTAAAACAAATGAAACATAAACATACACAAGTCCTCCTAACCAAAAATAATAACCGGAAACTACTTTAAATACACATGCTGTCCAAATGAAACCCATGTGTATAGTCAAAATGCGGAAGTTATTTTTTTTAGTCATCAACCAAAAGATATTCCCAACCGACTACGATGCTAACCGGAGCTGACATAAACACAGCCGATTTCTTCCACCAAGCGACTTGGCAAAAATATTTGCTAAGTAACAGTCTAACTCTCTGCTCTCGGGCGGAGAGGAACCCGGACGAGGCTCCGCCGAAGGGCAGAGTCTCGTTCGGGGTGGTTGGCTGAGATTCGATCACGGCTACGACTAGTTATGACCGGCTTCGGCCTGGACTAGCTAAGACAAGCCATGACCAACTTTGACTAAGCTCTGACCAGCTTGGACATGCTATGACCAGTGTCCCTTGAGTGGAAATGCTCGGGTCTCCCACGTTAAACGACCTTGTGTCACATCCTGACCCCGTGGGAGTCAAGTAAATACCACTTGGCAAAAATATTTTAAGTCAAGTGATAACGATTGCTGTATGAGTCGTACGATTTTTTAATCAAGCACGGGAAACGCCGGGCCATGCTGCTAGTAAAAAGTATTGTATAAATAATGTAAATAATTTGAAATGTTGAATTCTGTTGTTCAAAGTTTATATTGTTTTATAAAATTCTACAATCAATTTCACTATCTTCAGGACGGTAAGTGCGACGCTGAGTTCCGAAGACATATTGGGATGGCCAAAGACGCATTCCAGAAGCTAGACAGAATATTTCAAGACAGGAGGATTTCTTTGGTAACAAAAAAAAAAGAGTACTGAGCTGCTACGTGACATTTGACCTACTTTACGGCAGCGAATGTCGGACGGTCTCTTCAAAGATGAAGAAATGACTCGAGGCAACGGATGTATGGTTCTACAGAAGGATGCTAAGGATATCATGGAGCGAGCGGGTGAGCAACGATGAGGTTTTGAACTTATACTTAACATCAGGAGGGAACTTATACTTAACATCAGGAAGAGGCAGCTGAAATTTCTGGGACACGTAATGAGAAAGAAGGGCTTGGAGAATCTGATACTCACAGGTCGAATAGAGAGAAAGATAAACAAGGGAATTCAATGCGTGACATATCTAGCGGGCTTAAGCAAGTGGATGACAGAACATGGCCTGGGGGAAGTAGCAAAGGGATAAAACTTATTGAGAGCTACAAGGGATAGGGGTAAGTGGACAGCCATAATCGCCCACGTCCTGAAGGGACATGGTACATAAAAAGAAAAAACATTTTAGAAAAGACTGGTTTAAACGGTTTTGTAGCGAGGACGTACTATAGGAAATGTAATGGATGAGGTTGCTGCTGGTCACAAGTTTGTAGTGGACGGCTGCCACTTTCTAACGGGAGAGGTAAACTGTAAAGAAATTAATTCAACACATGGAGAATTTATATATATATAATGTATAAAATTCTCCATAATATATATATATATATATATATATATATATATATGTATAAAATTCTCCACGTGTTGAATTAATTTCTTTAGAGTTTACCTCCCCCGTTAGAAACTAATATTACGAATGTATATGCTTATAAAGCTCCGTAAATTTCAAAATAAGTTATTCCAAAATTCGCCTGAGGATGAAACAGAACTAGGTACTTTAATTTTATTTTTATTTCTATAATTGGAAGTTTTTAGCTTCTGTTTTTGAAAAATGGTAATTCCTATATAGCGATGGAATCAAATTTTTAAAAAAAATAATTATAATTATATATATATAACACAGCATAATTCACAGAAGAGAAAAAATATAATTACGTGTACAAATAGCTGAAAGATAGTAAAACATGTGCTGAGCTGTAGTGCGCGTGTGATGAGCCACGTAGTTGTGTGAAATTAAGAATTCGGCTTATATGACTGGATACGTCCTCTACCTATCACATCCAGGAGCGAGAAAGAGGACCCATGTTCTTTTCTTATATAGTTCCGAGTAGAACGTCACCTAGCGGGTGTCCTAACAAATAAGTAATGTTCACTTTCAAGCCTAAATCTTGCTTCCTGATTGTCAGCTGAACGACGTAATACCCAATGCGGATCACTTTCGAGAAAATGAGAAATATAGAAAAAGTTTGAATTCCGAGATTAGAAACAGGCGTAAAGAAGCAACTTCTAACGAACCTGGAATCAGCATCTTTTTAAGGCGGCGTCTATTTATTTCCGTCGGAATGTAGGCGATCATGGCTCTCCACAATTTCCTGTTCTTTGTAGCTCTTAATAAATTTTGTCTGTTATTTTTCCTAAACCCTATTCCGCCATCCATTTACTCAAGCTTACTAAGTATGTCATGCGTTGTTTTCCTCTGTCCCACTTGCCTTCAGTATCAGATTTTCCAAGCACTCTTTCCTCATTATGTACCCTAGACATTTCAACTGTCTCTTCCTGATGTTAAATATAAGTGTCCTTTTTGTTTCTATTTTTCTAAATGATCGTTGTTGCTCACATGTTCGGTTCATGATATCCTCAGTATCCTTCTGTAGAACCAGATTTCTGCTGCTTTAAGTCTCTTCTTCGTCTTTGTCGAGCATTCAGTGCAATATCATCTGACAGTTCAGGATACGTGTTTGATTCCTGACATATTACTTAATTTAATGGTAGGAGAACATGTCGAGTTGGAACTTCGAAATGTCTTTTTTTAATCCTTTCACCCCCAAGCAAGATGGGGAATGCCACTAGTGCGCGGGGGGGGAGTGATAGAAAAGACTGGATATAGGGGCGGGGGGGTGAGGACTGGACATAAGATGAATGGGATTCAAGAAATTAGAAGATGTCGATTGACATTGCATTTAAATTTTTGAAGATTGTAGTTTTCAGGGAAGTAAGTAAACGGAAGGGAGTTCCACAGGCGGGAAGTGCGAGAAAAGAAACTGTTGGAGTAAAAGTCTCGGTTACTTTTAACTATTCAAAAAGAGTGGGACCATAGATTCCAATTTAGTAGCCCGCTTAAATTCCCATAGTCGGGGCACCAGGGAAAAAAAGCTTGTTAGAGCAGTTGCCATGAAAATATTTGTCGAAAAGACAGAGGGAAACCACGTCATGTCGGAGAGAAAGTGATTGAAATCAAGATGCCAAGTCAGGATTGATTACACTGCAGACCCTTCTGGTTTGCTTTGATTTGTTTTACGACATATCAACCTCAATGGGTTATTTAATGCCGACAAAATTTTCATTGTTGGTAATATTTTATTTCCAAAAATCTATTTCTGGTAATATTTTTTCCTTCAAAAATCTATTTCTGGTAAGAATTTTCCTTAAGGGGTGGTTCCACGCTCCTCAAAACCTCCTGATCAGAGGCCTTGCTGTTGGACGTAGTTTATCGTCTTACCCAGGATGCGGATGCAGTTTATTGTCATACGAAGGACACGCCATACCCAGGACGGACCTCGAGATGAGCAGCAGGAGCACCTGACTAGATATGGCAACAGTATTCGTTTTCCTCTCTCTCTCTCTTTTTCCCCCGTCTTCTTCTCGTTCTTCTTTCCCTTTTACTCCTCGTCCTCTTTTCTTCTTCTTCTTCTTCTTCTCTATTTTCTTCTCTATTTTCTTCTTCCTCACTATAAATCTTCACATTCTTATCTTCGTCCTTCTTAAATTATCATGAAAGTATTGATGGTCATAATTCTATCTGTCGTCAAGCGAATAGCAGAGTGGGACAGGGAGGAAAAAGGGAAAAAAAGCCTCAATCTCGAGTGGCTGAAAGTTTAAAAATAATTTATTTTTCGGACCCGGATGTTTCGCAAATTCTTCACTAACTCGCATTCATTGAGGGTGTGTGGGATTTTTTTTATTGCTTATAAAAATAGAGTTAGCGGTATTAAATATCAGTATCCCCCCATCGCAAGGAATAGCAACAACACATTTTCATACAACTCTTTAGTCATATTAAGAAACTACTAGTAATACTGTAGATAATAATGGCAAATTGAAAACTTTAATTACCTACATAACTACTAGCATTACGCTTGTTGTTTATCCACAACGCCTATCTATCTAATAATAAATATGTTGCCTACAAAGAAACCATTTTCTCTATAATACGTCTTACTCAAAAATTGTGTACAGGATATAGAACTCCCGTCCATTGAAGTACTTCCCTCAAGCAGTTCGTGTCGTTCGCTTCTGGGTCGATTTAAGCTGACTTTCAATGCCAACTAAAAAATTTTCCTGGTTTACATGCAGCTTTATTCGGAAGTCTAAATCTGAATAAATTGTCATTCCTTTGGTGTGAATATAGTTAAGTGAAAAGTAAAACCATATAAACTGTTGAAAGTATGAGTATTATTTATTCGTACACTTATGTCGTTTAATAGAAGGTCGAGTTTAGCGTGAAATTTAAAAATTGTTAAAGTCCCTTCGGCACTTCCCTATTAAGGACGCCTACAATGGCAGGT